GGTATCTTAGTGTTGTTTTGATTTGCATTTCCCTGATGATTAGTGATGTTGAGCATCTTTTCATGTGCCTATTGGCCATCTGTATATCTTCCTTGGAGAAGTGTCTCTTCATTTCCTCTGCCCATTTTTTGATCGGGCTGTTTGTTTTTTTGTTGTTCAGTTGTGTAAGTTCTTTATATATTATCGTGCATGAATTTTTAAAGACTTAAATTAGGTCTGTGCTTATGCTATGTACTTTATTGTCCTTAATGTTTTAGTACTTTTGCTAAATGTAGATTGTTTATGACAGGTGTTTTAAATTATAGAGTTATTTTCCATTTGATATATCATCTAATATGTTTTAATTTTCAGGTGAAGTGTCAGAGTCAAAAGAAAAGTCGTCTACCCTGGATACTTCAAGCCAAAAGTTAGAGAAACCAAAGCAGACTTCTCCAGACCTTGAGAATGGATCCCAAATCAAAGCTCCAATCCCCAAAGCTAGGAAAATGATCTACAAATCACATACTTTAAAGCAAGATGATAACCAGTCTTTTTCCAGACAGAGGACAGACTCCCTGAATGCGAGAGGGGCTCCGAGAGGAATCCTGAAACGCAACTCCAGTTCCAGCAGCACAGACTCAGAAACCATTCGTTTTCATCAGAACTTTGAACCCAAAAGCAAAATTGTGTCACCTAGCCTAACCATCCATGAGAGAATTACTGAGAAGGAGCATTCTTTAGACGATGACTCCTCCTCAAACTCACAGGAGCCGTTAAAGCACGTGAGATTCTCTGCGGTGAAGGATGAACCCCCACAGAGTCCTGGGCTAAGCCATGGCCAGGAAGTGGGAGAATTCAGTGTTTTAGAATCTGACAGGTTGAAGAATGGAACAGAAAATGCAGGAGACATAGATGAGTTTTGGAATGACCCTAAGACTTCCCAATACAGAAGGCCCTTGCCTTTACATCAATCAGCCTCAAGCCCAAGTGCATCAAAAAATGAAACACACCAGCCAACAACTTCTGGTTCTTTTCCAATTAATGGGCACCAGTCTTCCTCAGAAGTTTTAACTGCAAGACCACAGTCCATTGAGAATTCACCCACCATCAGTGAACACAAAGCTAAATCATCAGAATTATCAAGGCTTGAATCAGAATTGTCCAAAACCCCTGCTGGTAAGAGAGTTGTCACTACTAGAGTATAAAAACTCACCCAGTGGGCTTGGAATGGCCAGGCCAGCCAGCCCTATAGGAGCCCCATTTCGCCTCGTAGGCATTCCAACTAGAATTCAGGAAGATGCCACTGGGGAATGTACATACTTCTTAATGGGTTTGGAGGTTTTTTCTCAATCATCAATAACCAAAAGAACCAGGATAGCACAGTTTCTGGCCCATTATGCTTTACTCTAAAAAATGTAACTATCAATTATTTAACTGAACAAATTACAGTGTTTTGAGTTAAATCAAGGCATATATGCAGAGTAAGAAAGATATGCTAATACCCTTGTATAGAGTAAATATATTATTACTCACCTAATGCAAATTTATCAATTATTGTTTAACCAAACTTTGGTTTCTCTTTTAATCTCGGGAGAACCTTCACTTTCTTAGCCTCGAAGGATGGGAACTAGACTGCCCTGAGCTGACATCCAATGCCAATCCTCCTCTTTTTTGCTGAGGAAGATTGGCCCTGGGCTAACATCCGTGCCCATCTTCCTCTACTTTATATGGGATGCTGCCACAGCATGGCCTGACAAGCGGTGCGTCGGTCCACGCCTGGGATCCAAACCTGCGAACCCTGGGCCACCAAAGCGGAGCGCGTGCACTTAACCGCTGCACCACCGGCCGGCCCCCATGATAATTTCTTTATAGTCAGGAAAATTTATGGTAGCAACGGTCAAGTTTCTAACTCATTTGCTCTCACCTTCCCTTAGTAGTCAATATTGTTAACCCTGAATCACTTTTGCTCAGCCCTACGGTTTCATATTTGTTCAGATCGATTTACTTCTTAAATGAGAAAGCATTTTCACCACCCCTCCTCCCAGACATTTTAAATCATTTGAACAGAATATTTTTTTAAAAATTAAAAATTATCAGGTGCTTCTTCAAGAAATAAAGGAACTCACATTAGAGGAAATTACTGTTTGAGTAAACATTAGCAAATAATTGGATGATGCTTACTTAAATCTTTATTCAAAAGATGAAAAATTTGGGGCCAGCCTGCTGGCATAGTGGTTAAGTTCGTGCGCTCGGCTTCGCTGCCCAGGGTTCGCAGGTTAGGATCCTGGGCATGGACCGATGCACTGTTCATCAAGCCATGCTGTGGCAGCGTCCCATATAAAGTAGAGGAAGAGGTGCACGGATGTTAGCCCAGGGCCAATCTTCCTCAGCAAAAGGAGGAGGATTGGCATCGGATGTTAGCTCAGGACTGATCTTCCTCAAAGAAAGAAAGAAAGAAAAAAAAAAGATGAAAAATTTGTTTGGTAATATTTTCTTTTATTATAATTCATAGAAAATATTTGGTAAGCCTTTCGTTTTACAAACTGCACCTGCTTTCCCACAGGGTATCTTTAAAATTTTGTATTAACTACTTATTTGTGCTTTCTGATTTTTAAATCCCAACTGACCGTGATATTTGGGAGGAAGGCATCATCAGCTACACCCATTTTGATTGAGATGCCTTCTGGCCTCAGAGCTTATAAACAAATTCTGCTTACTCATTAGTGCCCTGCTTTTTCCCTGCTTACCACAGAAATATACACAGGGGAAATGGAGCATAAACAGAAAATTAGGGCCAAAAAAATGGTAAACTCTGTGCAAATTATAAGGGTTTGACTTCAGCTCTGAGCTTCAGGATAGTCAATATCATACTCCTTATTACGCTAGGAAAAAACAAAAGAATTTCCCAGGGGGAACAAAACATTACCTGGCATCAAATTTTTAAAATAACTATTCTTATTTTAAAAATAATAAACTTTCATTGTAAAACATTTAAAAAGAAGAAATGCCCTCAGATGCACTGAGCCAACAGCTGATATATGGTATTTTAGCTCAATAGCTAAAATACATGGGTCTAGGGATGAACAGACAGAAGTAAAATTGGCCCGTCTCACCATCACTCCCAGTAACTCACTTCATGTAAAAAATAAAAAAATGCAAGCAGAAAACAGATATCATCTGTATGTACTATTGCTAACATTTAATTGTAGAGCCTTTCAATAATTTTCAGACATGAATATAATTTTAAATTATATTTATACTGCCCAGACTTCTTTTTTCACTGACAGTGTTAACGTTTTTTCATCATTAAATAGTCTTCTGTTAAACAGACTAACATGGAATTCTTAAAGATTTCTCAAAGGCACTTCACAATTATTGACGTGTATTTAATAGTACAATGTGTAGTTAAGGAAGAAAACCAATACTCACTATGTGCCAATTATTGTATAAGACGTTGTTGTTTTCACATTTAGCCCACGTAGATGATTAAAATTAAAGATAGAATTTTATTAACTGATATGTCCTTTAGTGAATTTGAAATGTAGCTGACTTTGTAAAAATTCAGTTCACATAATTTTCAGGAAAATGTGCTACATAGCTTAGCATTTATAAGGGAGAGGGAGAAATGCTGAAACACCTGAGTCTTAAGTAAAGGGGGAAAATGCCTGAATTTCCTCTTCTAAATGTGCCCTATGATTAAGGCTTAGAAAGGACTCTCTCTGCTTTCTTGATAACTTAGAAAGAACTTAAATATCCTTCTCTAGCCTCCTAGCCATCGGTTAGCCAACATCAGGGAACAGGTAGAGATCGCATTCTCCATCAGTCCTCATTTTAGTTTATTTCGCTCACAGAAACTACTTATAACTCACAATTGTTGAAGGTAAATAGAGGATAATGGAGGAGCCTCTTGATATCATGGTCCTCAAACTCCAGAATGCAAAACAGTCACTGAGAACCTGTTAGTAAAGGTTCCTGAGCCCCATCTTCAGAGATTCTGGTTTAATGTATCAGGAATAACTCCCAGGAATGCAATATCCTCCTTGTGTAGTTCTAACGTTCTGGAGGGAGCTCTTTGAAATCTTCCTTGAAAGTTGTTTTTCCAACTCCTGAAATCTCCTAAGTCAGTGTTCCTCGACCTTGGGTATAAGTCCCCTCTAGGGTTTATGAGTGGCCAGTGGAAGGGTGGAGTCATAAAATCAACATGGTGTATCTTCCTGGAGTGTCAGTTTTATGCAAAGATTTGAGAGTAGGAGAAAATATTTAAAATATAATATGGATCAGAATTCAAAATTCACATGAATTTTTAAAACAAACCAGAGACTTCAAAGAAATTTCCCAGTTTGGTCTACACTCCTCACTTCCAGGGGTCTACATTTATCTTCCTTTACTGTCATAGGACATCTTTGGTAGAATATCTTAATTAGGATGGTTTACATTATAACCCCTGAAAAATGCTGATATAAACAGTGGTGTGGAAAGTATAAATACAAAGTGCCTTTTTAAGAGATAATGTGAGTGATTGAATAGTAATTCTTTAAGCATTCTCTTTTCTAATTTAGAAAAGCATTTCTATGTTGCAGATGAACTGTCTCATGTTGAGCCTGAGCCATCTCAGGTGCCAGATCACAGTTCTAGAGACCATCAGCAAGGTAAGCCCCCTCTTCTCAAGGCCCTAAAAGCTAAGACGTCCTCACGCTCTGGTCCAAATGCCACTGAGATAAGGAAGACAACTGATGATTCCATATCTAAGGTCCTAGACTGGTTTAACAGAAGTTCTCACACAGATGACAATAAGTCATTTTTCCAACATCCCAGAAGAATAGAGCCCAAAGAAAAAACAGACTCAAAATCACAGATTGCTATTGCCTTGGTGACAGATGACATCAGTCTAAAAGAAAATGGCTCAAAGGCTCCATTATCCACTGAAGTTGAATTGACACCTATGGGATCTGATTTAATGTTCCAGGTAGAGGGAAATATGCTGCCTTCTGGAAACTGCCAAGATAGTAATGTGAATATCAAACCCAAATCTATTAATTTGTCCAAACAAGGCAAGGAAGGTCCAGGCATATGGCAGCCATTTGAAATCTGCGGTCCAAATCAAGGGAGTAAAGCTCTGGACTATAGCCAAGGTTCAAAAAACATAGGAGAAGGAAATGGGGTACTTCCCCCAAACTATTCGTACAGTGCTCTCAAGGGATCTGAATTTGTAGAACACCAAGTCCCATGCAATGTTCAGGATGCTGGCAGCGTGGGTGAAGAAAAGGCCAAGCCTCGTGCTTATGAAAAAAATAGAGGAAACTCAGAAGTGAATTTTGATTCTTCAACCATTATCAAAGAACCAAGTTTGAAAGACAACGTGAAGGCAAAGAGAGAGAGCAAGGGGAGGGATATTTACGTCCCAAAAGCTTCCTTAGAGTCAAAGAATATTGAGTCACCACCTGGGGCTGCCAACGACAAATCTCCTTGGAAGAAGCCCGAGGTCCAGCTCCAAGAAGCTGATGAGGTTCCCAAGAACCAAGTGCAAAGAGAGAAATACAAAAGAGTGAGTGAAAGAATATCCTTTTGGGAAGGTGAGAAAGCTGCTGCTAAGTTAACTCATCAAGAACACCCATCTTCATGCAGTCAGGAACAACCCTCTGCTAAAGCATATCAGCCTGTGAAGTCCATGGACAGTTTATCTATGGGCCAGAATGAATATAATCAAGTCACTGCCAAACAAGTGGTCCTAGATGAGGATGGCCAAGCAGCCCATCTCTCCAGTTTTTATTCCTCGAATAAACCTAAAGAGACCAGGCCCCAAATATCAGGTCCATTCAAAAATTATCTTTCAGCTGACCAATCAAGTAAAGCATCTCTATTTCACAATAAGAAAAATGAACCTATAAAAACATTGCCAGTGGCAGACAGCTTGCGTTCTGGAAGGGACATTACCTTACCGGCACTGCAACATCCTTCAAATGTTGGGAGTGAAATACATACTTCTTTGGAGGAAGACAGATCCCCAATTGGTGAATCAAATCTCAACTTTAAAGTTATGTCCCTAAAAGAAAGAATGGATGAACCCACCACAGAACAGGTTTATAATCACTCTCAATTTGAGAATTTGAGACAGTTTTGGGATTTAGGAGCCAATATGAACAGTCAGGATAATGTTGAGAAGAAGAATACCACAACAAGCCAAAAAAATTCTGTGCCTTTTAATAGCCAGAAACACAAAGAATTCAGTGACATTAAATCACCAGGGAAAAATACCCATGAAATAGAGAGACTTCTAAGCCAAAAGAAAGTTCCCACAAGAGAGGAACTAGAGAAATTGAATTCAAAGTGCACACTCCAGGTGTTACCAGATGAAACCACATTTTCATTGAGACCACCCAGAAAGTCCACTCATCAACTGCCAGGAAATGAGTCATCAAAGGAAAACGTGGAAAAGAATACGGAATGGTTTGTTACTCCAGTGTTCAAGGAAGAAAAGCATTACTCAGACCAAGAGATTCAAGAATCCATAGTGAAAACAACTGTTTTATCTAAAGACTATAAAGACACTCTTAATGACAGCTTACAGAAGCTGCTTTCAGAAGCTTCATCACCAGCAATCCAACCTTCTGGTGGAAAAGTTCATGGAAAACAAGTGCTTGAACCAAGTGTCTCTGAAAATAGGACATGGCCTCAAAAGACAGATTTTGCCAATACTGAGGAAGAAGCCAAAGGACCTAAGGAGATCATTAATGAGCATGTAGACAAAACAGTAGCTCCTCCAAAGGTCAAACCAAACACTTTGACTGCTAGTCTAGACAAACTATTGAAGGAAGCAACTGGAACTTCAGCCTCTCCCTTGCAAACCAAGTTGGAATCTGTTACCACTAGGTTCAATTCTGAGCCTGAAGGGAAAAGAGTTTTTGAAAAAGGGATAGAACAGAGTTACAACACACCAGCCTTTCAGAGAGAGGAAGAAACTTTGGGAAATACACCTCTCCCCCAGAACGCTGAAGGTGGTGAGTGTCCGCTAAACATGGAGAACTTGGTTCAGATGACTGCAGGTTTTCACCCATTGGATCAACCATCCCATCTTCACAGAAAGGGTTCTTCTGGGGATGTGACCAACACTCCCCAAGATATGCCTTCTTCCTGGGATGCTCATCTTGCTCCCCAGCATAAGTCACTACCTTTTCACAGGGGAATTTCAGAGACTGTAGAAAAAGTCATTCTTCCACCCAAACATGCATTGAATGATATAGACACTGTATTACAGAATCTACATAGAGAAGCTTGGTTTAGTTATCCAGTTGGGAGGGAAGTAGTTCCTGGAGAAGTAAAAGCAGAATTTCCTGAAGGAGTACAGGCAGCAGGTAGCCCTAAAAATTCTCTGGGAGTTATCCCACCATGGGCTCCAATGGACACCATAGTTCCAAACAGAAAGGATTTTTATTCCTTCAACATAGTTCCTGATGAAATTCATGAAGATGGATCATATTTAGCTGCCCAAATGTCTCCATCAGAACAAACCCTTAGCTCATCCAGTTCTAGTGTTGCTCAGTATGGCAAAGAGTTACCTCAGGAAGTGGTAGAAATTGTGAGGGAAACAATTATTCACCCTAAATCAGAGCTCCTTGAATTCAGTGCTGGCTTAGAAAAACTACTGAAGGAAACAATTGAAACCCCTTCCTCAAAACATGAAAGTGATACAGGGACTCTTTCTCCATCCAAGGTAATAGGTAGTACTGAGGTGCCCAGGCAGGATGCTTCTGAATTCCATCCTGAGGAAATAAAAGAAACAGTAAAAAAGTCTGAAGCTCTGTCAATAACTGAGAGTGCTTTTGATATTGGTTTTGAGAAACTCCTTAAAGAAACATCTGAAACTCCTTCTTATCAGTTCCAGGTGTCAGTGAAGGAGGAAATTCCTGAGAAGGAGCCTTCACAGTCAGAGTGGGCCAGGTTCTTGGAGACAGTGCCCCATTTTTACTGGGCAGCCTCAGAGGCCTCTGAAATGAAGCTTAAGAGTAATGTTTTCAAATCGCAAGTCAACCAGTGTGATCAAGTGATGAGAGGAGGCGAAGTTGTGACTGATTTGTCAGCAGATCTCTGTGATTCTGAAAGTGGGGTTGAGATTACTGGAACCCCACAACTTTATGTGGACCATGAAATAGAGACTGTTGAAACTATAAAACCCCCAGAGGACAGGCATAGTGAAAGTAAGGTTGCAAGGGTTGGAGAAGGGGCTTTTCAGGAGCCTGGCTTCGAAGAGTCTCCTGAAGCAATTAGTGTGCCCAGAAATAGGCAACCCACTCCTCTCCTGACGAACAAAGAAAACCCTACAAAAACAAGTAGAGTTGAATTGATTCTGGCATCACCATATAAGAGACAAGAGAAAGAGGAAGAAAAAGAAGGTTTCTCTGACTCCGATTTTTCAGATGGAAACATTGGTTCTAATGCAGAAAGCTGGAGAAATACCTCCAGTGAGCATTTTGAAGTTTTTAAACCATTGGTGAATGAGTTGATTTATGGAATGCTGATGTAAAGGATGATGTAGTTTTTTAAATTGGGATTAATTTGACCCTCCCAAATGGTGCTAAATTCTTACCACTTCAGTTCTCCCTAGCCTTTCTTAAGAAAAAACTCCATTTCCTTTTATATTCTTTAATCAAATGAGTTGTTGAGAGACAGCTTTACCTAAGGCAGTGTCTCAGAATCTGGCTTTATTCTCATTAATCAACAATACAATTTTTAGGTTTCAAAAACATTTTTTAAAGAACTTTTTTGGGTTTAGAAAGTACCTCTAAAACATCCAAGCTAGTTTTCCTCCTGGAAATAATTAGAATTTCTTTCTCAATTGGCAATCCACACAGAAGCTTCTAGTAAGATTTGTGGCAAGAAATTGCTACAAATAGGCTCAAATTTCCCTTTTAAGGAGCAATATTTTCCCACAGTAGTGGCTAAATACCAGGAACAAAGTGCAAGGCTGGAACTTTCTTTCCCTCAGATGCCTTGTGCTGTGGTGGTTTTGTTGCCACACTCTCCTTCTCGTTTTCAATTATGTGCAGAATCCCCTTCTAGAATATGATCTTGGTCAGATGACTTCACCTGATTCCACCTAAGGGCATTGCCTGGCCTGCTGTATTTCTTTGGCTCCAGCCTTGGCTAAGTGGATGGAGATCTTAATCAATACCACATTCATCTAAGTGGACTTAGGGGTACTGGTTTCAGCCAGGCTATGAAACATAGGGCTTGTTTCCATTTGCTATTCTGATCAACAAGGGAATTTTAGCGGAGAAACCCAGGAGCAAATAGGAATGAGAAGGTACTTGATTAGAGTGATGAAATGATAAAGGATGCTCTCTGCCTGGGTCATTTTAACCAAAGTTGCACAACAACTAGTGTTGATCACCTTCCTAGTTTAATAGAATTTGTCATTTTCTAGCTCCCTCACTCTCAATGAGAATAAATAAGCTTTACTGCGTGGCTGACTTATGAGGTTTGGGTTCCTTTGCAAGTAGCTCTAGGGCCTCTCCTTGAAAACTGACCAGGAAATCCACCTTTAAACCTAATTAATCAAGTTGAAGCCCCTTTAACAAATGTTGCTGGTAAGAAAAGGAAAGTGAGATACCAGTCTCTGAAACCAGACATACACAAGAGTATAAGCATGTTAAACTTGTTGAAGTAGACTTTTACTAAACTACTCCATGAGTTACTAGGGTAAACCGACCCACAGGAAGAGGAGGGCTTGTAAATTTGCACTTACTTTGGAGACTAGTGCTTAACGTGCATAGCTATGTTTATAGTATACCAGCATAACTAATTGAACAGCAAAAAGCCCATCTAAAAACAAAATAATCAATATTAAATAACCCCCCAGACAGAGCCCAGATAGGACATTTTAAAATTATAAGCCAAGTAAGGGGTATAAAATGGTACAGTCATAGTTTTTTATCCTCTAACCTAAATTATTATTTCAAAACAAATGGGTTGTGGGGTGAGAGTAGGGAGGAACCTGACTAAAAGGGCACCATAATTTTGGTGAGTAACCTAACACGTTTGACTTGTGGCTGAGCTCTTAATCAACCAATATCTCAATGTGCTCCTTAAAAAAAAAAAAAAAAAAAAAGGGTTCCATAGTCAAATACTTTTGGAAATGCTGGGAGATTATGCAAATTATTAGCATATTAAAGTGTCTGAGAAGATCTGTAGTAAGGAATCTTTTAAATTTCAACACAGAGCATCCCAAATCTAATTCATCTTAGAGTCAATTTGCTGTAGAATGCCTTTTAACATTGGGCAGAACTGGAATGCATTTCAGGAGAGTATTGTCTGGAGAAGTGGTTCCCAAATTCATTGACTCATTAATGGAATCATTCGCTGATTTAGCAAACATTTTTGTAGTGCCTATTGCCAGCCACTGTTCTAGGCACTGAGAATACAATAGTCATGAGTGATAGTACTCAGACCAGGGCTTATCCATGATGGAGTCTTCACCGTCAAACAGAAAGATTAAGGACTGTGTAGAGAAATTTTTTTGTAACATTAGATGTATTTAATTTAAAAGACTCTTCTTATTCTGAGATTATGCCCTTTTTCTTTTTTAAAATTTTGGTCCTTAAAATGCCTTTTCATTAGTAGATGATAGAGTACCCCCCGCCCCCCGCTTAGAATGCCTTAGGTAAAATAAAAAGTTGACAACCTCATGTCATTTCCCAACATTTTGTTGGAAATTTTGCTAGCTCATGAACCCCAAAAAGCCTACATCCATTGATCTAGAGAATTCAACAATCTGTGTACCCGATTATACACAGATGTTAAACATCTGAATCTTGCCTTCAGCTAATTTTTTTAATGCTCCTAAAACCATTTTGTGGCTGTCTTCAAAAGCTGAAAGTGAAGTGGAAAGATTCAAAATCTGGCACAGAACAAATCATGTGCCTAAAATAGAGGTGTAGAAGACTAAGAAATCACATTTCTATTTATGTGGTAGTCTTGTTTCTATATGGTTTATACTTGCAAATACTTCTTGACCAGGAAAACTATTTTTTTAAAGAGTATGCTAATAGTGGATAAATTTTATTTTCTTCTGTGAAGTACATAATAAAGTAAATGTATAGAGGCTTATGGCATAATGCCTCCTTTTGACCTATTTCAATGTCCATTGGTTATTAAGAATTTGGTTTTTTTTTTTTGTACTGCGCAGTGTTCATCAGTTTTGTCTTGTAACAGGTTCAGAAGAAGAACCCAGTCCTGTTTTGAAAACTTTGGAAAGGAGTCCTGCTAGAAAAATGCCTTCCAAAAGTCTAGAAGACATTTCATCAGATTCATCAAGTGAGAATAAAGTTTGCCCCACTGTTCATGCCCCCATCTAAGCTTAAAAATGCTTATGTGCTCTTCTGTGGCCTCACTGCCTGCTGTTGTGCACTGAAACCCCTAAAATGGAGCGGTTAACAGATGAGAATAACCTTTTCCAAGTGAGCTGAAGAGGCACACCCTAAAGTGGCTAGAACTTTGCTTTTAAAATACTGCACAAGTTTTAGTTACTAGAACACTAGGTTTCCTTGAATTGAAGAATCCCAGTTTGAGTATTTATTCAAGTACAGTGAGTTTTAAAAGATTGTGGTAACTAGTGATTCTAGTAGTAATAGGTAACATTTATTTATCACTAGGTGCCAAGACTTGGCTAAGCATTCTACATGCATTATCTCATTTAAGTGGCATAAGCAACCCTGTGAGGGATGAATTGTTATCTCCATTTAATAGATGAGGAAAATGAAGGTCAGAGAGGTAAAGTAACTTGCTTAGTGTCATACAGCAGAGCTGAGACTCAAAATCAAGAGCATTTATGAAGTGACCATATGATAGTGTTGCATGTCTGATGAATTTTGCATGATATGGAGATGGAAAGGCCCTGGCTTCAAGGACTTTCTTTTCTCTTTTATCCCTTCTTTTCATGTGTTTCTTTTGGATACTGGACCTATAAGCCCAAAGACTACCTGACACACAACACTGTAGGCACACTATTCCCTGTTGGCTGCTGCTTTAATTGATGAAGGATTTCTTGAGTACTAACATAAAGCATAATGTATGTAGGGACTTGTGAGCCAGACAAATGGACTTAAAAATCGTGACTTCTAAGGATTTTTTCTTGTTTTTTTTTTTTTTGTTTTTTCTTTTTTTTTCTGAGGAAGATTAGCCCTGAGCTAACATCTGTGCCAGTCTTCCTCTACTTTGTATGTGGGTCACTGCCACAGCATGGCTGAGGAGTGGTATAGGTCCACAACCAGGATCTGAACCCATGAACTCAGGCTGCCGAAGCGAAACACACTGAACTTAACCACTATGCCACAGAGTCGGCCCCCTGTTCTTGTTGTTTTTAAACTAAGATGCTCCCCTGGGATTGCAGATGGTCATGAGGAAATTTACTGAGTGAAAGTTAACCACTGCCAAACTCACGATTAAAAATTAGCCACTGTCATGTTTAGAATATTTGTTATGCATCTGCAATTAAGACTAGAAAGTCAGAATTTAAAAAGGAAAAGAAAAAGCCACTCCACTAAACAACTCCTAAAATTCAGAGATTCTCAAGGCCCTGAAGACAGTATTCTCAATTTGGAATGCAGTCCTAAACCTACCAAAGATCTTGGAATCTCAGGGTTGGAAGGGACCTTGAAGGTCACCCATTCCAAACTCCCCCCAATTTAGGAATTCCCTCTAAAGCCTCCTCAACAGGTGGCCAACCCCCACATCCGCCTGAACGCTTCCAGAGAAGGCAAGGCCAATCCTTTGTTGGACAGCCCCGATTGTTCTTCCTGATGTTGATGATGGACCCTGAGAAAAAAACTCTGTAACAATTGTCCAGCTTGGCAAACCTCTTGCCTGCGAAGCATGGGGCTATTTCCATGGTGCAGCTTTAAAGTAGTCAGGAATGTGTAGGGTTAAAAAAAAAATCACCATCAGCTGACGGGTATTCCTGCATGCTCCTTTCCAAATACCGATACCCAATCTCACACTAGCCTGCCAAGATTCCACTTAGCAGCTGGTCCCCAGTTACATCTCTTCAGTTGACTTCCCAAGCAAGGCTCCCAGAGGCGTACACAAATGATGATGCACGCACAGAAATATTTGTTAATGACCATGGGCTTGGGAAGGTGTTAGTCATGGCTAGCATCTTACCCTTTCCAGAAGAATAGGGAGGCTGTTGCAGCGCTGTGCTTTCTCCTGCTGCCAGCCGATTGCTTGCTCTGAGCTAACCCTCTAACCCCTGGGAGTCCGTGTGCAGCAGTATGCTGATGTAAGCTGCATCGGAGCTGAAATGGGAGCTCCCGCTATGGCACTGGCTCAAGTAGCTAATCTAAGGAGAAAGTATTTTGGGGAAGACATCTTGGTTGCACCCCTCACTGCATCTTGACTAATTTCTTCCAACTCCAGGGGCTTCCAGGGACAATCTCATTGTTCCTTCTCGCCAAGGGTCAGCTGTGTTAACCATTTGTTAATTTCTCCTGAACAGATCAAGCAAAAGTAGATACTCAGCCAGAAGAATTAGTACGTAGTGCTGAAGATGGTAAATATCTTTATGTATTTGCATGTCTGTCTGTGTATTAGGTTCTGGGGTGGTTTGGGCAGTCACGGGGACGCAGCTGTTGGATAAATAGAAGAACGTCATTTGCCACTATGTGATGAATGGTGCCTAAGTTATAAAATGGTTCTGACTTAGTGCATTTAATGCTGTTTGTATTCTTAAGGCTTCTGCTGGTGATACTGTTGTGAGGATCTCATCAGAGACCCTTGGGAAGTAAAGGTTTCTATAAATAGGAAATTGTATTTCTATAAGTATAAGCTGATTTTTACTACTCTGACTTGCAGAACTCCTTCTGAAGGCAGGAAGAGTGGAGTGGGTTCCTGGGTTAAGTTATTTCCATATTTGATTCTCAAGTCTCAACATTTAGATCTCTCTGGACATAACTGGTTAAGCTTTAGATTCAAACAAAGGATCTCAGAACCAGAGTGGGGATCCTACCTCTGTTCATGTAAATAACCAAGTATAGACAGAGGGTAAAATTAACTGATTCTGCATATTAAGGAGCCAGAAGATCTTGAAGCTTGTCAATGGATCAGGTATTACTTGGTTCAGTTATAAAATGAATAGGAAAATAGTACCTTGATGTGGGGAGGGATAGAAATGAGTCTGATTTTTGTAGTTCAGCATTTATGCAAACATATAATTTATATTTGTATGCTGGAATTTTGTTTTCTAAGTTGCCTTCACTATAATAATAAAAATGTGTATTAACTGAGCTTTCCCGTATAAAATGTGGCAACAGAGCTCCTCAAATGTCACTCCTTATGTTTATGTAACAGTTTTGTCTTTCTCATTTTATATTTACAACAACCTCATTGAATTAGGTAGGGCAGGGATTTTTATCATTGTTTTACAGATAAGAAAAGCTCAGAGAAATTAGGTGACTTGTCTAAGATCCTGTGGCTAGTCAGTCAGTGGAAGGATGGGGACTAGAATCTCAGCTTCATTACTCCTGGTCCAGTGCTCCTTCATTTTCCATACTGTGGCTTAGTGAATTAGAGGAAAGATGCTCAACATCTCCTATGCTGGAAGCTGGATTTTTAATTGAACAGGAGACCTTAAAAATGCTAATGAAGAGTCACACTGGGAATGGATGAAAGCAAGCTGGAAACCTGTCAGATGTATTCTGCCGTCTCCGTTGTGAAACTGACATTTGAGCTTTACTTTCATATCTCTTTAATCCTTCTGTTAAAATGGTATTTATTCTCAATGTTGCTCTTCTGAGTAGATCAAAAAGCAGATCAGGAACCAGATACAAATGAATGCATACCAGGAAGTGAGTAGTGGAATCTTTCTCACAAATGGCTAAATGTTACCACTCTACATGGTGTTAAATATACTGAAATAACTAACCCCATTAATAATGCAGCATTTCTTATTGGTACTAAACTCTTGCAGCTCACAAAACTATTTCATTCTGACAAGGGTTGCATTAAAAACATTTTACTACTGTCTGTGTTGAAAGATTAATTTGTGGTTCCACTGAGGGAGAGTTATATATTTAAAAAAATTTTTATATATACAAGTATGTGTTATATATATATATATTTATATATTGCTGAGTATTATCATACTTTTGTCAGTCTCTCTGCTCTTTGAGTCTTTGCTTAAAATGAAGTTGGCACCTTCTAATGTCACTTGGCTTTTATGTTGCAGTATGGTTATGTGTATTGGATCTCTTGTGGCCTTTACACAAGACTGTAGACGTGAAGCAATTTATAATTCATTTAGACCTAAGAAAGAATTATACTTTGACATTTAGTATGTAGTATGAAGCAACCTTTATTATGTCTAGAGTTGAAGCTCTGAGGTTCAAAACTGGACTCGAACAGTATATATTCAATATATAAAGCAAGCGAACATCTGAATCTTAAGAAATTAATGTATACTTGTGATTGCTAATGTCCATCAACTAATTAACATCCACCACCAAGCAAAGATAGTAGTTGTTCACTCTTTTCTGTACAATCTTAAGATTGCTGTACGTAACTTTGACTATAACTGTCTTGAGGACAAATAGCACATTGAAAAGGTGTTTGTGGGGCCTGGCAAAGCACACAGATATGCATGTGTGTCTTCCTTAGCTTCCCAGTTTCGTAATCCTGGGCACTGAAAGTATGAAGATAATGATGCACATGCCTGCCTCAGGGGGTTCACAGGGTTTTTAACAACAGTTCTCCAACAGTCTGTGGATGTGCTAATAGGTCTTAATGAGAAGAGTAGCTAAATGAAGGAGCCATTAGATGGCAAATCGAAGTGCTGATGCTAGAAGGCAGTGGCATCTAGTCTGAAATCTGAAACTTCGCTTGGGGGGTCCTCCTGCTGGAGATAAAGGTGCTGAGCTTTGACACACAACCTGACAAATTCTTAGGAACTACCTAGGAAAAAAGACAATCCATGCTTCACCCCTTGGTGTGTGTTCTCTGTCTGGCTGCTGCAGAGGAAACAAGACTTCTGTCTCTTGGGGATATTGGGTAAAGAAGCTTTTCCAGTTGCTTTTGGACTGGCAGATATTTACGTTTGGGCGTCTTATTTTATCTTGCTATATTTTGTTCCACATTTAGCCTGAGAAGTGAAAACAAAACATAGATAGAGACATGTATGCCAATATATCTGCATCTTCATTTGTGACCTCTGAATTAGCTTAGTTGGTCAAGGCAAATAGGCTAGTCGTGTGCTGAATTCTGGATAAATTAATTTCTCTCTTTTTTTGTGATATTTTTCAAGATTACTTTTTTTTTCTTTTTTTTTTGGTGAGGAAGATCAGCCCTGAGCTAACATCCATGCCAATCCTCTTCTTTTTGCTGAGGAAGACTGGCCTTGGGCTAACATCTGTGCCCATCTTCCTCCACTTTTTATATGGGACGCCACCACAGCATGGCCTGACAAGTGGTGCATCGGTGCATGCCCGGGATCCGAACCCTGGGCCGCCAGCAGCGGAGCATGCGCACTTAACCACTATGCCACGGGGTCGGCTCCTCAAGATGACTTTTAATGCCTGGGTTGAGGTTGTTCTTTTTTTCTAGTGAAGAGTATATTCTTATCTCAAGACAAAATGAAATATGTGATCAAAACATAAATAAATGAAGCCCAATAAATGTAAAACTGACTACATTTGAGTAGTGGATATATACTTTGGAAATAATAGGGAACAGTGTTATGAAAAAAGATTTTTGCATACTCATTGGGCACACTGTGCCCTCATGGGACCTAATCTTACACTGCTTCAGTATAAGTCACCTGAATACACACACACAGACATTATTGTTTAACAAGAAATGATTAAAGCAGGCATTGTCTTGTGAGACAACATAAGTATATTTTGATACATTTGTGAGCCTAAGGCTAGGTGAGAACTACTATGTGAATAAGCAAATATTTAATATGTGTAGTACAATTTTCAATTTTCCTTCATTAGATTTCTTTTAATTAAAGATGAATTTAGCTAATGCTTAAGGCTGAATTTGAGCCATTTGAATATATATAGAAATATATTTTGATTTTTATCTATCTGTTTTCAAGTCAATATATTTGTTTCACATTGAAAAGATAATTTAAAGATTCTCTATCAGATAATGTTTATTTGTTTAGCAAATATTTATATAGGGCCTACTATGTGCCAGGCACTGTTCTAAGTGCCTTGAAAAATATTAACTCATTCAACACAAAAGCTCTGATTCACCATAAGAAAACCTTAACCATTGTGATGCTTAGGCAAAGAAGAAAATAGTTTTCTAACTAGAGTTACACAAATTAGGAATAGAATTCATCATGTTATTGTGACTTCCACAGATATACTTACTGTATCAGAAAGAAACCATAGGCTACATTTTCATATTAAATTCTTAGAGTATCCTAACTTGAATCATTCAAACTTGGCATTAGGCTATCTCTATTGAAAATTCTCTGAGTTGACAGACATCTAAAAAGTTTCTATTTTCAAAAAATAATTAGTTTTGAAATTGTAGCCTTTCATAATTCTGAATGAGAAACGCTATCAGAGAAGTAATTTCCATACTCACTAAACAAACAAACCTTCTCTTAGCACTCAATAGCCAGGACACTTTTTGATTGAGTTGTGTACAAAGATGCTTGCTGTCTGATGAAATAGTTTTTCAGCCTGCAGCATGTTAAAAATATATTTCAAGGAGATGAACCAATAAATTACAGATCTTGTAGTTCAAGGCTCTAATGTGAAAAAATAAGTTAAAACTAATTCACGTTGGCAGTGTGATTTAATATAATTGAAATCCAGCTCCAGTTCAGTAAAAAGTAACAGTTTTTAAATTAACTTTTATTTTCTCTTTGGTTCAACTCCTTGCTAGTTTTCTCTATATGATTTTTGAAAACTGCATGTTGCTTACGTTATGATCCTGTGCATGTGAAGTACTGAGCCATTAACCTTTTTACAAAAACATCTTTGTTCATAGACGAAAGAAAAGTGTGTTTTCAACGTATACCTTATGTTTGTCTGACAATTGTAAGGATAATTTTGAATGGAAATGCTGCTGTTTAGTTTCCACAGTGCCTTCACAACCTGATAATCAGTTTTCCCACCCCGACAAACTCAAAAGGATGAGCAAGTCTGTTCCAGCATTTCTCCAAGATGAGGCAAGTTTGTCTTTTGTGCTTTCAGAAAAATGGAACCAAATAGGTGAATTTGCTATGCCAAGGTTGGTGTGTTTGTATTCAGCCATGGCAGAGGCCAAAGAGGTCAGCAGGACTGACCCTTGCCTTTCATATCAATAGAGGTAGGGTTGTTGATCCTGGAACAAGGCAAGGCATGTCTCATTTGACTCAAACAGTAACTCTTTTTGGTAGTGAAGTCAAATTACATAGATTTGGGAATGTGACTTATTTCAGAACGGATACAAAAGAAGAAATCCAGGCAGAAATATGTTGGCATGAACTAACTACTCCTCTATAGTTTAGAATAGAGTTGATTTGTGAAAGTTTAGTCTCGGTGGCATGACTAGCTTGAAAGCATTTGTTAAAATAATAAAGTAACAATGACATAGCAGACTTTAAGGATATCTACTGGGTGTAGGCATTTTACATACATTATCACATTTAATCCTCCAATAACTCTGGGAGGTGGACACCATCATTATCCCCAGATATTACAGATAAGGAAACTGAGGCTAAGAGAGGTGAAGTACCCTCACTCAGCTAGATAGTGGTTGAACCAGGACTGGAGCCCAGATCTGACTCCCTTGCTGTTAACCACTGTACCTACTGTCTCAAGCAAGAACATGACTATTATCTACTATTCATTGAATACCTAGTAAGTACCAGGCACTTAATATTCATTCTGATAGTTAACTCTCACTGAGTGTGGTGTTTTCTCCATTTATAAAAGAGGAAAGAGCCTCAGAGAGGTTAAGTAACTTTCCCAAAATCCAACAGCTACTAAAAAGTAGATCTAGGACTTGAACTCAGGTCCTTTGACTTAGTTAAGATGCCATGTTCTTGCAGCCAGGTGGTTAGGAGCCTGAGCTTTAGAGTCAGACATTCCCAGTCCTGGCTTTGCTGCTAATTTGCTATGTGATTATGGACAGGTTCCTTAACTTCCCTGAGTCTGGTTTCCTAGTGCTTATGTCATTAGGTTGTGAGGAGTCAGTGAGATAATGCAGGGAGAATGCATAGCACAGTCCCTGACTCAGTGAGTCCCGGTAAATGTTAGTTGTTACTATTTGTGGTTTTGGTCTGATTTTTGATGGTGAAATAAAAAGCTTCATCCTCAAGTGTTCTCTTAGTAAATGGAATGTGAGGAAAGCTCTGGATGACACATAAACTACATCCCCCCCCCCCACCTCCTGGGCACCCTTCTGTCCATTGTTGGGCCTTAGATGAACTGTATCTACAAGTATTCAGCCAGTACTTGTGCTTGAGAGCCCACACTACAGTTCCTTTGGAAAGAATCACTCATTCTTTGAAACTAACTCATTAGCTGGAAGCCAGTGGTAGGCACCTCGTGGAGTACCTGTGGTTTTATACCTTTGTAAATATGCTTTCGTCTTGGTTGGTCATATGAATGAACAACATAATAATTTTTTTTTTGCATGGGGAAGATCAGCCCTGAGCTAACATCCATGCCAATCCTCCTCTTTTTGCTGAGGAAGACCGGCTCTGAGCCAGCATCTATTGTCAATCCTCCTCCTTTTTTTCCCCAAAGCCCCAGTAGATAGTTGTATGTCATAGTTGCACATCCGTCTAGTTGCTGTATGTGGGACGTGGCCTCAGCATGGCTGGAGAAGCAGTGCGTCAGGTGCGCGCCCAGGATCCGAACCTGGGCCACCAGTAGCGGAGCGCGCGCAGTTAACCACTAAGCCACGGGGCTGGCCCAACAATATAATAATTTAACAGGCAAATGATACCAGTTTCCCGGTTTATTTTTCTCCTCCCTTCAGTTTTAACCAGCTGCCTCAGAGCTCCACGCAAAAGAGAGTGCAAATCATTTGAGTTAGTGCATCAGAGATGCCAAATTAAGCTGTATCATTTTACCTTTCAAAGTACATGAGGTTGCACTGAATATTAAAGGAAGTGGCGATGAAATCAGGCCTTGCTCCTTTGTCCACAGTCCCTTTGAGGCTTAGCATCGATCACATTTGTCAAGTGCCAGCTATGTGAAAATCAGTGTTCCAGGTCAACAAGACAGGGTCCCATCCTTCCAATAAGTCACTAAGGATCTGCTGTACTAGGTAGAATGTAGTACGTGCTATAATAGAGAGAAAAGGACTGTACGCATGTGCGGAGAGAGTGTGACAATAGAGATATTAACAAGTTATGGATTTTTTTTTAATCCTTGAGTCAGGATTCTTTTCTTATCCATATAAGTCATAAATTTTTTCTTTAACTCCTTTCTTAATCTGCATTAGAATTGGCATCTGTTGTATTGATACATAATTGCATGGCCCCGGAATATGTTGGCATGAACTAACTACTCCTCCATAAAGGTGTTTCCCTAACCCCAGGAGCCACTGAACTGCTCCATAAACTCTCTGACCCCAAAAGGAGCTCATTCTGAATCATGAAATTTTTTTTTTTTTTTTTTTTTTTTTTTTACTTTTTCCCCCAACGCCCCAGTAGATAGTTGTACTGTCATAGTTGCACATCCTTCTACTTGCTGTATGTGGGACTCGGCCTCCGCATGGCTGGAGAAGCAGTGCGTCGGTGTGCGCCCGGGATCCGAACCCAGGCCGCCAGCAGCGGAGTGAGCGCACTTAACCGCTAAGCCACAGGGCCGGCCCTGAATCATGAATTTTTAAAGCTACCATCTAATAAACTTTAGATCTAAATATAATAAAATTTATTATTGCCACTTTTCTTTCTTGACCCAGGTAAATATTTCCTGGGACATATTTAAAATAAGTGTCTTGTTGCTATTGTTTTTTTCAAAAATGTGTCAAAATCTAATGTGGGTAGAATGTATAATTTAAATACTTCCCTATAGCAACAAAAAGATAAGCACAATAGCACTACAGAAATACATAAGAGGTTGTTTAAAAAATTTTAAATATGTTTATAACTTTTAGTTGAAACAGATCAGACTAGCACTTATATTAACAGCATCTCAAGTACAAGATTTGATTTTTAGGGAAGTTAAGGCTATGTTAATAATGAGAGGAATTAAGCATGATATTTTATATTTTGACAGTAAAATTAGACCTTTTATTGTCTGGGTAAGGTTAATTTCTCATATATATCAATAAAATTCTCCAAGTGACATAAATATATAGTATTAAGAGAGTGACAAGTAAGCTCACAGTAGTGCTGCCTTCTGTAGCACCTTGGGGCCACCTTGTAGGTGAAAAAAATCACTTTATTATTTTGGTAGCTAAGCACTGCTCTCCTCCTTTGGTGAGGTCCAAGGCAGACCAGCCACCCCCTCCTGAATCCATTCCCTGGCAATTAGCACTAGCGTCCTTTGACTTTGGGAAATGTCATAGATCAGTGGGATACCAAGATATTATCTTTATCTAAACCAAGATTCTGATCTTGACTCATTCTGAATTTAAATTTTGTGTATATTATATGATGTCTTGTAGAGTGATGACAGAGAAACAGATACAGCATCAGAAAGCAGTTACCAGCTCAGCAGACACAAGAAGAGCCCGAGCTCTTTAACCAATCTTAGCAGCTCCTCTGGCATGACGTCCTTGTCTTCTGTATGTAAACAAAGGCTCCATGTTAATATCTCTCTGCTTCTGCCAACCCTGCTCTGCCATGCTCCTGCTCGCTGTAAAACAGCCTCCTGTTGTATTTCTCAGATTCCAAGGGCACAAGCTTTTTCTCTAACCCACAATTTACCTCTGGCTGGCTAAATATTCCTTTTGTGTTTTTTTAAGCATAAAAGAGTTCATATCCATTATAAATAAATATGGTTTTTGGATGTAAGTACTTCAAAAATAAACCTAAATTACCAAATAAATTTTTCTGTGCAATAAATAGGGTAACAATTATAAAGTCTGCTTATATCAGATATGCTTTTGAATACTGTTTGCAGGTATAGAATTGTACCTCTCTTTTAGCAAGCCTGATGAATAAAAGTACTGATTCACATAAAAGAATAGGAGAGGTGATTCTTTGCCTTATAGAAAGATTCAGATCAGGATTTTAAAAGGAAAACTCCCTAAGCCGATGTGCTCAGAGTTGATTTAGAGAATTTGACTTTACATAGAACTTCTTTCATAAAGTGAGGTAGCTATGTGTGCTTGTCGTATGTGTGTAGAAATATATATATGTAAATATACCCACATACACTTATCCAAATATTTCTCTGATATACATACATGTGCACATATTTCACCAGGTATGCTCAACAAATGGTAAAGCTGAGCTCAAATTCTTACCAGCCTCGAATTTGTAAGACTTTTTTAGAAAAACCTATTTAAATTGAATTTCTGCTGATAATCAAATGTATGGCCTTAGAAAGGCTTTAAACTCCCTTCATCAATCATCCATTTTCTACCCTTCCTGACCTCTAAAAGCATATGGCTCAGTAAGCATTTTCCTAGATTCAGAGGATGAGTAACATAGTAAAATTCCTTTTTAGTGCCTTGGAAATTTGATAGAGCAACGTGTCACTGTGATTTGTGTGCCTGAGGTTTCTCACATCCTCTTTCTTTAACATTTTAAATACTAAGCATGCCTAAAAATGGAAATCTGAATGCCCTCTACCATAAAATCACCCTGCTTTGAAATGAGCCAGCATCTAAATGTTTGCATTTCACTTTTCATCTATGTCTCTTAGAGGCAATTATTTTTAAACACTAGTCATGTCATGTATATCATGTCAGGTTGTCTGTGTTGCTGTGTCTTTATGCCGTATTAAATTAGCTGCTTTTATATGCAAACTAGGGAAATAATGGCAGGCAAGGATTATATCCATGATCCTTGTGTTGCATTCGAGAATGAAATAGAGACAAACTCTGCTCTGCGTTTCCGATGCTTTCAGGTGAGTGGCAGTGTGATGAGTGTTTATAGTGGAGACTTTGGCAATCTGGAAGTGAAAGGAAATATTCAGTTTGCTATCGACTATGTGGACTCACTGAAGGAGTTGCATATCTTTGTGGCCCAGTGTAAAGACTTAGCAGCAGCAGATATTAAAAAACAGCGTTCCGACCCGTAAGTACATTTTGGAGTCACTGCTTTCTTTTAGTTACTCTTAATCTTGTGTAAATTGAGAAGGAAAGAAAGTAATTGAAGGGGGAGGGTATGTGTGTGACTGTGTTAAAAGGAATATTTGAAAAGAAAACTTGGGGGGAAATGCTGTTTTATTTACTTTATAAATTCATATACCAAACTTATTAAAATATAAAAATTCAGAGAAGCACAAAATGTTTCAAGTTGGAAGGGACCTTTGAGGTCATCTTGTCTGGTTTCTTCTTTTTACAGATAAGGAGACAAGGGCCAGAGGAGATAAGCGGCTTATTTACATAAATTCAGATAATCAGCAGCAAAATGAGAGATGAGGGCTTGAACCCCGGTCTCTTTCCACTCTCAAACTTTCTTTAAAATTAGGGACATGTGGGGTATATGTCATAATGTTCAGTGGTGCAGAAAGAGTTAAGATTCTAGAATAAGGTAGTTTCCATATTTAAATCATATTCTACAGAATAACTTTAGGGGGAATTACCAATTCCTCTTTGAAATCACAGGTTTAATTGCATTTCAGTTTCTTTGCAAAAGTTGAATGGTATTCCCCACTTATCCCTATGCAGAAGTCTGATTCTTAATTATCTGGCCGGAATAAGCCCAATCTTTTTTGCTTTTATTATAAAAACAAGTGGGCTCAATAGTTTTTTTACATTGAATTTGGCTTGATTAGATGTGTGCTAAGATTAATTGCTTTTTCAAAAGACAGGAAAAAAACCTTTAAAAAATGCTGCAAGCACCAAAGCCTTTTCTTTCTTTTTTGTCTTTTTTGTGTGTGTGTGTGAGGAAGATCGGCCCTGAGCTAACATCTGCCAATCCTCCTCTTTTTTGCTGAGGAAGACTGGCCCTGGGCTAACGCCCATGCCCATCTTCTTTTACTTTATATGGGACGCCGCCACAGCATGGCTTGCCAAGAGGTGCGTTGGTGTGTGCCCAGGATCTGAACCTGCAAACCCCGGGCCACGGAATCGGAGCATGCGCACTTAACCGCTGCACCACCCAAAGCCTTTTCTTAATAGGAAACAAGGCAATAGAATTAAGCACTATGTTAGAGGCCTGTTGTCCCCCTGCCCCATTAGGTAAGGACAAAGGAAAAAAGGAATTTAGGAAATATCCCTTAAATATCTTCAGAACAGGGCTGGCCCCGTGGCTTGGCGGTTGGGTGTGCGCGCTCCGCTGCTGGCGGCCCGGGTTTGGATCCCGGGCGCGCACCGACGCACCGCTTCTCCGGCCATGCTGAGGCTGCATCCCACATACAGCAACTAGAAGGATGTGCAGCTATGACATACAACTATCTACTGGGGCTTTGGGGGGAAAAAATAAATAAATAAAATCTTTAAAAAAAAAAATCTTCAGAACAATATAAAGTGATCAATTCCACTGAAATCACTTTAAACATTTAAGTATAAAGGTATTGGTGAGAACATTTATTACTTACTGATTTTCTCAGTGTCATGAAATAGTTTCTGTCAATTTCCAATGCATTTTTAAAACTAGAGGTGGAAACATCACTTTTATTTTCTCTTTCTTTTCTGTTCGACTCTCTTTTTAGGTATGTAAAGACTTATCTGTTACCAGACAAGGGCAAAATGGGCAAGAAGAAAACACTTGTAGTGAAGAAAACTTTGAATCCTGTGTATAACGAGATACTGCGGGTATCTATGGACTCTCTATCTAAGAAAATCCTAAATGGTGACCTATGCATTTAAATAGCCATGTCTTCTTAGGTAGTATCTCTACAGATGCAGTCAGTTACCAAGAAAGGAGATGGAAAGGAATACACATTTTCTGAGAAACTGCTTTCTATGAGATGATATACCATGAATGTTGTAGGCGTTATCTCATTCACTCCCTACATACCCTGCCAGGCGGGTATTATTATCTGCATCTCACAGATGAGGCAAATGAAGAGAAATAAATTAACTTGCTCAAGGATACACAGCTGATAAAATTGAGCATTGCAACCTAAATGATCTTCTAATAGCATAATTCTGATCCTGTTATTTCTCAGCTTAAAATCTTTTAGGATTCCTGTTACCCTTAGGGTCAAGTCCATCCTTCTTAACATACACACCAGTCCCTTCATGACCTGAGCTCCAGCTTCGTCTTTCCACTTTCATAGTCTTTGTTCAGGTTACCCTGATTCCTTTCTGCTCTTTGGAGGAACTACATTCTCTCGCACTGCTAGGACTTTCTGTTCCTTCAGGCTGGAATATTCTTCCCCACATTCTATCCCTGATTACCTCCTACAGCTTTAAATGCTTCTTCCTATGAGAGGCTGTCCTTAACTCCTAAGTTCCCCTCTGTCTGCTGCCTCAGTTTCCTTGTTTTGTAATAGGCTGTATTAACACTCAGCACTTTAACTACTGGTTAGATAGTCTGCTTTCCCATTAAACTGTAAGTTTCATGAGGGCAGGGACCAACTCTGTGTTGTTTATAAACTGTGAGTGCTTGGGCAAATGACTTAACCTGTCTGTATTTCAGAGCTACAAAAGGAAGATAGCAGTACCTACCTACCTACCTCAGTAGTTATGAACATTGAAAGAGTTTATATGTGTGAAGTGATTAGTATACATTAAACACTTAGTAAATGTTGTACTAAGAAGTACAGTGTCTGGGAGAAGTACTCAAAAAATGTTTATTGAAATGATAGATGGATGGACAGATGAATGGAAAAGATATCTGACTCAAATACCCATATTCTTTTTTCCCCCAAACTGTATCATGCTGCCTTAGTCACGAGTAACAGATAATTTAAAACTAAAAACATAAGAAGTGTTATTCATTCCCTCTTTCTGAAAATCCTGTCCAAGTATTTCGTTATCCTCTGAGAAAAGAAGCACAATTAAATTAACTCTCAGTTATCTGTGGGTAAATTTTCTGTACCAAGTTTTTGATTACAATTTGACTACGATATTCCTCAGCACCCTAGCTATTTCTAGGTCAGCTACTGCAACCCTATACTCAGGAAAAGCCAGCTAATTTAAATGGTAAACTCAGAGAAAGGCAAGTCTACTACAACCAAAATGAACTTTTGAGTCATATATCATAAAAGCCAAACAGAGATTATTTTTAGATTAGAAGTACTATTATCCCTTCCATGATTATATGTAATCAAGGATTGAACTACATTTTAGATGAAACCTGTTAGGATGCCAAATATTTTCCACTTGAGCACGTGAAGCAGGAAAAAACAAGTTTATTGTTTCTTGAAAAATAGCTTATCCTTGCAGGATATCAATAGTAGGAAAGATTGTGTGCATATAGGGGCAGGTGGTATAGGGGCAGGTGGTATATGGGAACTCTCTGTACTTTCTGCTCAATTTTGCTGTGGATCTAAAACTGCTCTAAAAAATAAAGTCTATTAAAAAAAATACCTTGTCCTTAGGTAGAAAACAGACCTTTGGATTAGACTTCATTTGTATTTTTAGACTGAATTTGATTGATGTTATATCTAGTTAGAACTAAAAACACCCAATAAAAATTGAATAATTGGCTTTTGTTTTTAGAGAGCTATTACTGGCTATGATATTTGAGTCATAGTTTGCTTTTCCAGAGAGGGAAAGAAAATCAGCTTTTGTGAAAGATGGATTTCAGCTCTTTGAAACAAGACTCTTAGAATAAAATGACTTTGCAATATTCTTGAGACTTGAAACCTAACAGATGAGAAAATCTGATCTGTACAGATGACTTTTCTCTTCATCTCTATGTCATAACTTTGGCATCAAGTAATATTATTCATCACTTTAATGTCCTTCTTTGAACTGCAGTATAAAATTGAAAAGCAAATCTTAAAGACCCAGAAGCTGAACTTGTCTGTTTGGCATCGGGATACGTTTAAGCGCAACAGCTTTCTAGGGGAAGTGGAACTTGATTTGGAAACTTGGGACTGGGACAACAAACAGAATAAACAATTGAAGTGGTACCCTCTGAAGCGGAAGGTAAGTTAAGAGTTTTTTGGTTGGTTGGTTGGTTGGTTGGTTGGTTTGGGGCCTGGTGTATAGGAGAAAGCTATTAGAGAATTGCATTTTCATTCAGAATGCTTATCCATAGTTTGGGATCATTATATCTTTTCACCCTGTCCCATATGTCTCTTATGCTCTTTTCTGTATATTCTATTCTTTTTTATTTTTCCCCCTCTCTATGCTTCAGGCTGGCTATTTTTTGCTAACCTATCTTTCAGTCCAATAATTTTCTTATCTCCTAAGTCTAATCTGCTGTTACACCCATCTACAGGTTGTCAGTTATTATATTTTTTGGATTTATATTTTCATTTGATTCTTTTTTATAGATTCCACTTCTTTGCTAAAATTCTCCATCCTAACTTTATGAATATATTAATCAGATTTAAAGTGTGTACCTGAAAACTCCAATATCTTAAACATTTGCATCTCTCATCTAATTTTTTATCTTAGTTTGGTTATTTGGTCCTTTGTTCTGGTATGCCTGTTCATTTTTTATTGCATATGAAAAATTCTAGGGATAATTTGAGAGGGTTTACTTTTGTTTCTGACACACAGAGTAGGGACAGACTACCTTAATCTAATCTAGGAATAAACTGACTGGAAGCTGGGGTTCAGTTTTCATATAGTCTGATCTAGTTTTTCTTTGCCCACATTCCTAGGCTGTGGCCCTTCAGGGGTTCCAGTGAAAGCCTAGGGAAGTAGTTCTCAAACTGTAGTATGTATCCAATTCACCTGAAGGACTTTTTAAATAAAAACACAGATTTCTGGGCCTTATTCCCAAGGTTTCTGATTCAGTAAGATCTGGGCCCAAGAGGATGCATTTCCAGCAAGTTCCCAGGCATTGCTGATGCTGCTGGCCTGGGGACCATGCTTTGAGAACCAACCGCTGGTCTAGAGTATTTTGTGAGGCCATTCCTCCTTAGCTGGCTGTGGACTCCCATTTCTGTCTCTCCATCCCCGCGAGACTGCCAAAGCCCTGCTCGGCTTCCTGGTCTCTTTCTGGCTAGGCCTTTTATGCTCTTGGTTTGGCACTGCTTAAAAATCAGCTAATGCCTCAAAATGGAAAGCAGAGAAGAATGTCCGACTCCAACATCTTGTCCATATGAGTCCTGTCTATCTTAATAGTTCTTTGGCATCTTCAAATAGACTTTTTTAACCCAGTTTTTTTTTGTTCTTGTTCTCAGTGTGAAGGTTGATGTGAACCTAGCTAGTCCATCATAGCTGGAAGTGATACATAATAAACAATTAATACAACCATTATTTAGTATCTATACAATGAAACAGTTCCACTTAAGAAATTGTTCCCAAATATCACATCAAAATCACCTGAAACACTTATTTCTAGCCCTACCCAAGACTTGTTAGATCTGAATTCCTCAGACGATATCAAAAGCATCTCATTTTTAACTAACTTCCCTTATGTTTCTGATGTATAGTCATGTTTTAGAAATAAGTCTCTAAAGAACCAAAATTTGAAAGGAAAACCATCTCTCTCATACTTGAAAATAATAGATATACATTTTAAAATTGTCCAGTTTTGTTATTCTTGCAGACATCTACCCATTTGGTCTAAAATACTCAGGTTAATGCAGCTTTGAAAATGTAGTATTTGGGTTTTTTTCCCCTACATTTCCACACTCTTCTTACTCCTTCAAAGAAAGAGAATACAAATAAGTTGTTGTTTGTGCTGGCTGAATGACTAACAAAATGTATGTGTTTTTGTAAAAACCAAAGCATCCAAGAACACCTCCATCTCCAAGAAAGCCATTCTGATTTCTCCACTCTCTTTGAGACTACAGGCTTTGAAATGTTTTCTGGGTACCCTGCACAGTTTTCCAAGATACACAGTATAGCTTTCCCAGATATAAAAGCAACAATCTAGCGCTGGTGGGGAAGGAAGTGTTAATCCAGGGCACTCATGAATGATACGTAGTCCTAGAAATGGGGCAGATATGGTCCTGTAACAGAGTACCAACAAATAGGGTAAACAGTATATCTCACACATGCTGACATGCCTTCATTTTTCAGACAGCACCAGTTGCCCTTGAAGCAGAAAACAGGGGTGAAATGAAGTTAGCTCTCCAGTACGTCCCAGAGCCAATTCCTGGTATGTAATGATTTTCTGTCCATATTTATGCCTTTTCTTTATCCCTCCCCTCTCCAAGGATTTCTCTGAGTTCTATGATATATTCAAAGGTGAAGCCCTAAACAAACTTATTAACTTAGTACTTCTATAGACCAAATGAGTCAATTCACAGTTATAAACTAGAAAATTCTCATTTTTTTATTGTAGTCAAAACATAAAATTTCCCATCTTAACCATTTTTAATTGTACAATCAGTAGTGTTAAATACATTCACATTGTTGTGAAGCAGATCTCCAGGACTTTTTCATCTTGTATATCTGAAACTCGATACCCGTTAAACTATACCCACCTCTTTCCCCTTCTCCCCAGCTCCTGGTAACCACCATTCTACTTTCTGTTTCTATGAGAAAAATTCTCATTTTTTTCAGTCCACTTTCAGTCCTTGTTTTAACTTTCACCTCCCTGTCCCAAAAGTTTGTATCTGCACAATGTGAATGGCCTTTCCTATGTTCCGAATTTGGACCTATTGGTAGTGCTGTGATAAGAACGGAACTAGAGTGTTATTTTTCACAGGTGGTAATTGGAAGAATTCATATGAAGCCCCTAAGAAATTAGAGCTCCTCCACTCTCAAGGTCTTATCAGGAGAGAAAGCTTTTTCCTCAAGATTACTAATTGCGTACTTGATGTTAGGACCTCAGGTCGGCAGCCCAGTTAAGGAGCAAGAGACTAGCAGGAAATGAATGCCGGCCCCTCTCTTATTTCATAGGCAAGTTCCCCCCAAGTTATTCTCCTTAAGAATCTGTGTGAATGTTATGACTGAAATCCGGTTGCAAACTCAAATGCTTTCAGTAACCAGGAAGTGAAGCTAGTGGGATGAAGGAAATAATGAATGGTGAGGCCAGTGATTAAACTAGAGAAAGGCATTCTAATTCAGCTAAAGAAAAAAAAAAAAAGAGAGAGAGAATTGGAGGGCAAGCAAAACGTATCTTTAGGCCAAATGGCTGCCAAACCACCATCTTGTTACTTCTGGATCTTTCTAAAAGGCAGAATCTTTTATATATAAGTTGTATCCTATCATTTATGGTCAACATGCCTAGAAATTCTACCAATCTCATTTCCCATTTTCCCCACTGTCATTTCTTGGTGGTGGGGGCTGGGGGGACCGTGTGTTGTGATGGGTTCTACCTTGTCTGAGTTTTTGCTCATGTAGTTTCTCTTGCCTAGAATGGCTTTCTCTTCTTCTCAACCAATCCAAGTCTTAGATGAAGTCCTATCTCCTCCATAAAGCTTTTCCTGACTATATTCATCCTCACTGATCACATCATCTTCTAGAACATTATAATAATAACTTGGCATTTCATTCTGTATTACATTTTTATAGTTTTGGTTGGATTACTCTGTCTAGCTTCACTGTAAACATTTCCCAGGAACATAGATTTCTTGTACTCCTTGTATATCCAGTGACATTCCTAGCATAGGGCTGAGCACAAGACTGATGCTCATTAAACACTGGTTGGTTGACTGACTGGGTTAACACATCCAGAAAAATATAGGCGCATTCCTCTGTCCGTGAGCACCCAACCTAGACAACAACTTCAGATTAAGCCGACTTCTCAGTAATTCTCTGTCCTTAACAGTAGCTATTATGTGTGTCTACACAATAGTCCTATAAAATGTGTAATTACTTTTAGCAAGAGTGACTATACTTTAGCCTGTACCTGTTTTGGTTACTTTGTACTCAAATATGTTTAAAATGCTGCCCATCAGCACCAATTGATATTGGTATTAATATTTAAAAGGTATATGCATTTCATTGAGATGTTTTGAATATAACTGTAAATGGATCATTCACATACCTGATATCTATAATTGATCTTGTTGAACCAAGCAAAACCCAAAAAGAATGATGTAATGCTCTGTACTTGGAATCAATATAAATTATTTTCATAGAGCTATCTGAACTCAGCGAAACTATGAAAGATATAGTTTAAAAATGTATAGATTTAACCAATTAGGATCATATCATCAAGCACTAGCTAGTAACAGACCGTTTTTAGTTTGGCATCTTTAGAAGCAGTATTGCCAAGAGTGGAATGGCAGTGAAATTTTATTTTCTCTCTTTTTTTCTATTACAGGTAAAAAGCTTCCTACAAGTGGAGAAGTGCACATCTGGGTGAAGGAATGCCTTGGTCTACCACTCCTAAGAGGCAACCATCTAAATTCTTTTGTTAAATGGTAACAGCATTGATAACTCTGCCTCCCTCAGTTCTACAGTAGCCTGGCCTTTGCTGGTTGGTTTCAGTTCTCCATATCTGTGATGCTGAAACTCATCATTCATAGTTTAAATGACATAACTTGAGACAATGGCAACATGAACTAGAGGGATCTGTGACATGAACCCCCAAGGCTTCATTTAGTTTTAAAATCATAAAGGTAAGAGGGCATATATACAAATGAAACCAAAGACCACATGCTCAGATATGTAATGTCTTCTAGGAGGTACATCTGCTGGTGAGGACAATATTCAGTACTAAAGAGTTTATGAAGTTTCTAATGGTGGGAGGCCATACCCATTAACTCCTTTATGGAGCACCTGTTTTGTGGCCCATTTGCAAAAGGACTTTTGCATCAACCTACAAATACCTGGAAAATTATTTGCTAAACAGACCATTCTAATAGTTAGCTCATAAAAGCTTAAGACAATTTGGGTTTTTAAGTGGCAAACTTGTTTCTCTGTTATCCGTATAAGTGCCTGGAATCTAGTAAATAGTAACTAAACAGATATTAGTGTGCTGTCCTAGCTCCCTCTGACTAACTTTATCTATATAGATTCTACCCAAAGACCAGTTGTAGCTATTTAAGTTTATATGACATTATATATGATTTTCCCTATACATATTCTTCATAGATGTTAGCTGTTAAGATTTTTCAGCTCAGGTCAGTCTCCCATTCTGAGACCAGTCTCAGACCTTCTTGCCTTTATAAGGGCCATGGTAGGTTCAAGGTAATTCAATTATTACCATAAATTAAATGTAAATGATTAAAAATATATAATTTATTCCCAAAGTCAAATCTAGCAATTGGAGAGATTTATCTACTTTTTCAATTCTGTACAAGACTAATTCCTTAGACTATCACAGATGATCAGAATAGACTGTGCTTCCAAACTTTGAGGGAATCCTCAAACAATTGCTACATAGTAAGCACATAAATGCAGGCACTGAACTAAGTTGTTTGCTTCATATGTAGTGCTAGTATTAACCTTATGAAGTAAGCACCACCATTCCCATTTTATAGATGAGGAAGCACGTGTCTGAGAGGTTAAGTCACTTTCCCTGCAATACACAGCCAATAACTGGCAGAGTCAGGATTCAAAGCAAGTCTGGTCCACTCTAATGCATAGAGTCTTTCCAGCAGGATGCCCCACCACCACCACTGCTGTCTACACTCTTTTTTCCTCCATTTCCTTCCACCAATCCTCAATAGCTCTGTTGACGTGCACTGAAACCATAAATGTTCACTATCTTATTAAAAAGCCCTCACAATTATGTTTCCTTTTATAGTACCATCCTTCCAGATACAAGTAGGAAAAGTCGCCAGAAGACGAGAGCTGTAGGGAAAACCACCAACCCTGTCTTCAACCACACCATGGTGTACGATGGGTTCAGGCCTGAAGATCTGATGGAAGCCTGTGTAGAGCTTACTGTCTGGGACCATTACAAATTAACCAACCAGTATTTGGGAGGTCTTCGGATTGGCTTTGGAACAGGTAACATTTGTTACATTTTTAAATCTGTATGAGCCAAGTGCTTCTGGAGACACTAGAGGTTTGTTTGTTTGTTGCTTTGCTTTTTCCTAATGAAAACAGATATTCTATTTCTATTAAGTGTAAAGAAATGAATGAGTGAAGGAATGTCAGGCTGTGTGCGAAGGGCTCTCGATAGGAAGATTAACAGGATACAATGTCTGTATCACAGAGCTTAAGTTATTGTGGGGGGAAACAGAAAAGCCTTCATCACTACTCTTTCCTGGAAAAACATTTAAGGCCCTTCATGGCTAAAAGTGTTCTTTGAATAACAATAGTAATTAATATTTATGGAGCAGTAATCACTGTATTGAGTGTTTTATTTGCATTGTTTCATTTAATCCTTACAGCAATTCTGTGAGTAGTTACTAATATCCCCAGAGGAACTGATGTTCCAAGAAATTAAGTAACAGAGCAAAAAGTGGCAGAGCTAAGATTCAACATTGAGTCTGTTAGACACTAAAGTTGTAATCACACTTCCTTAGAGATCATCTAGTGTCATTTGCAACCTAATGCGGGAATCCTCCCTCCTACTCCCCTGTGCCCCTGACAGGTTGTCATCTAGCTTTTATATGAACATGAAGAGAAATAATTACTCTGGGAATAATGGGAGTAATCCCAATTATGGAGTGTCCCATTATTGGACATCTCAGATGGTTAAACAGTTCTTTCTTATACTGAGTCCCAGATCTGCCCTCCTGGTGATGTTAAAACTCTTCCTAGCTGTCTTCCATTAGTGATTATAATTAGGGATGACTCATTTTTTTTTTTTCTCCAATGAGCTATTCCTTTCTAAATGCAAAGCTTCCTTTTTCCAGGTAAAAGCTATGGTACTGAAGTGGATTGGATGGACTCTACTTCAGAGGAAGTTGCTCTCTGGGAAAAGATGGTAAATTCCCCTAACACTTGGATTGAAGCAACTCTGCCTCTCAGAATGCTGTTGATCGCCAAGATTTCCAAATGAACCCAAAGTCTCCTCCACTGAAGACTACTAAACAGGTGGAATCTGATCTTGAAAATGTGACTATGTGGACAGAGATCATCACCTATCTACTGCCACTAATGAATGCTACACAGCATGTTAAAGTCAACCTGCATGTGCTTCTTTGGCTACAAGGCCCAAGAGATTTAAATAATAACAAAATGTGTAACTGATTTGTGACTCCAACATTAAAGAAGATATTTGAGAAAGCTAGGAAAATCGAACTCTTGCTACTGCTTTGAAGAAAAAGCTGCCAAAAATATTAAATGTGGGATGTGGGTTAATGAGCAAAATTTTCTAGCCTGCCATTGTGTGTTTCAGAGCACAACCCTGAGCTACAGTGAGGAGGGCCTGCCACTTGATCATTGAAAGCTCTTGAAGGAACTGAAAATAAATAGGTTGTGAAAAAGAGTGACAGAAAGATACTCCTACAAAGGGGAAAAAGGCAGACTATCAGTGATGATAAAGAATTTGACCATAAGAAAACTATTTACTTACTGCAATCTCTATTAAAATATGGAATTCCATGTTAGGGCAATGAGACTGAATTTACTGCATGTACATCTGCCTAGAGAAACTGCTTTCCCTTTTCCCAGTGTTAAAACAGTCTCAAATGTACTTTGGTGCCACCCACTGGCCATAGGTGGAATTCACTTTTTGGCTTAATTTTCTCCTAAGATAGGTCTCAAGCTTGTATTTTGTAAGAGAGTATGTAAAAAAAACAATAAAAACCTTGCATATATAAGATTCTATTCTTCTTATAACTCTACTATATGAAAGCAGCATGAGAGTAGTCACAGAGATGCTTTGCAATAAAGTTTTAATTAGAATGTAAATTGTTAAATTACACTTCCTATGTATGTATAATTTTCATAAAGTATTTTATAAAAAGCCAAATTATTATATGATTTAATCACGTCAAATTAATTTGACTTCTTATTTTAAATGAAATACTTTATGGTAGAAATCCTAAAATCTAAATTCCCTAGCAAGGCTAAAGAACTACTGGGCAAATATTTCTTCAGAGTCTTTACTGCAACTCTGGGTATCATTTCCTTTAAATGGGAAGCTTCGGCTATGTTATTAAGAGTTGAATTTTTATTTTAAAAAAGTAGCTGAAAAGCTTTGAAGATAAGTTAACATTTATTCTTGAAAAGTTTTCCATAGAAACATTTTGGGGTCATTTTAATATATAAAACATTATTCCCCTTAGGACCCAACTAGCTTGCCTTTCCCAAAACAAGCACTGATTTAATGTAGTTGGGGGAAGCCTGGATGGTAAGGGAGTGTGAGATCCTAGAACAGGTGGCTAACAAATGTCATTGAAAACAACTAGCGTGCTTGCCTCCTCCCCAAACAGATGTTAGAACCTTCTACCCACCTGCCAGTAAGAGCAACTCACCTAGAACCACACCCTTCCCATTGTCTCTTAAGGTCTTTTAGGGGGGTGTATAGTCTGGCTCTGTTCCCTCTTGTGTTCTGACTGTGGGGAAGGGCAACGTGAGCTGAGTGGAGGCGCACCTCCAAGGTCAGCCTGGAACAGTAGCAGAAGTACAAACGCTGTTCCAGCTCCCGCCACTTCACAGTGCAAGACACTTTCTCAGCCCTTCCTTTAGTTGCCTGCTCAGCTGTCTCCCAGCCTCCAGCCAGCTTTGAAGCACTAATGAGATTAGTTCTAGTATCTTCCCATCTAGGACTAGAACTGCCTGCCTCCTCCCATCCCCAGCTGCCTGACCTTCAAAACACCAGAGTGGACAATAGAACCACCCTCCTTGCATCTGCCCACAGCACTTCCCCCTGCCTCGGGACATCCAAGGGGATTTCATGTCACATTTTTTTCTGAGAAAATAATTATAACTTTAATCTCACCTGGCTACAAGAGGAAGGCTAATGGGCCTTACATGCATTATAAAGTGTGGGCAACCTGAATTCTTTAGTGAACTCAAGTTGACAGACCCTTAAACCAGTGAGACTTAAGCAAAGTCCCTGCCAAAACTTTAATATATATTTTCTTAAACTGGAGGCATTTCCTTGAACTGCATGTTTTAGGGCTTTTTCTCCTTTTCTTTTTTCAGAAACCCAACTAGAAATAAGCCAAAAAAGGGGATTTATTAGAAATGTACTGGGTTAGTCCACAGAATTAAAGAAGTACTGCAGGAACCTAGAATACTTGGGGGCTCATGGGCTGGGTCCAGGAATTCAGATACTGTCTCCTGTCTTTCTCAGGGAGCGGGAAGTAGCAGTACAGGCAGCTCCAGCATCTCAGCTAAACCTCTCAGCTAAAGCGCTTCTCTTTCCTAGGTTCAGCTCGAGAGATCTCTGGGAGAAGCTGGCCAGGCTTGGGTCATGTCCCCACCTGTTGGACCACTCGCTGTGGCCAGGGATGGATAGGGTAAGATCTTATGATTGATCTTGCCTGGATTATGTGTCCACCCTGTGGCCAGGGAGAAGTGACCCATTATCAGAAGAATGGGGTATTGTATAGACATGGGCACTGGAGAAATCAAGAGCTGGGCAGCCACACAACTTGTATTTCCCTCAAGTAAAAATACTTGAAAATTCCATTATTTAAAAAACGAAGTAATATTTCAAAGAGTCACTGCTGACTCTTTCCAGAGAGGCCTAAATTTCCGCATCCACCCTGAATGCTGCAGCTTCTAAGTAGGTGGTGAGGATCCTGGGAACCCCATGGCCTGCCCACATGGCCTAGGAGTCCACCAAAGGCATGATTACTGTTAGCCTAGGCTAACTTCTTACAGAGAGGCCTAGCTATGTGTACCAGGGAGCTTGCTTGGATTTCTTCTTTGCACATATCTGTCATCCATATTCACTGTCCAAGTAAAAAGCCCCTGAACATCTGCCTGCTGTACTTTCATTCCCATTCTGCTTCGGGAGTGCTCTCTCATTTCCTTTCCTGTCTCCAATCCCTCCCAGACTTATTCACTAATTTCACTAGTTTGTTTCACAAAACAAATGCCCCCACATATTCGATCCAATTACAGAACATTCCCTCCACTTCTTTGGCTGACTGTTCCAAAAAACTGGTTCTCCTTCAGCCTTACAAAAAGAAGACTCTTGCTCTCCTACACTCAGTACCTCAGTCAGGATGTGGGATCAGACTTCAGATCATTATTCCCCTATCTTTATTCTTTGAGAAGAGTGATGTGTCTAATTTATCCATGATTACATTAGCAGTTATCACACTGAATTGCTGTTTTTCTATCATTTGTCTGTCTCCATCATTAGTCTGTAATCATCTTAAGAGCTGAGACTGCAACCTTAGACATAACAGTTTCTCAGTATGTGAATTAAGTGAATGAATAAGCGAATGAATGAAGTGTGAATTAAAGACCATGGGCTTTGGTATCAAAAAGATCTGGGTTTGAATTCTGGCTTTGTCACGTACTCTCTGGGTGACCTGGGGCAACTTGCTTAACCTCTCTATGTCTTAGTTTCTTTGTTCCCAATAAATTATAAAATGTGGATAATAATGCCTACTTTTCGAGAATATTGTTAGAATTACATGAGAGAAGATGTACAAATGCCTAGTACTGTGTAGGGTATACAGAAGAACTCTGTAAATAGTAGCTCAAAAAAAAGAGACGTTAAAAGACTTAACAAAGGCAAGTGGAGGGGACTCATTGGTCACCACTAGAGAGAGCATTGGCCAAGTTTTATGCCTTGGACCTCTGGGAAGGGAATATGCTGGATACTTTCAGGATCAAAGGTAGCTGGAAAAAAATGGTAGAACAAAGAAAACAACCATGGCAGGGAGGAGCCAAAAGTCATCATTACTAAACTGTAAGTTCTTTGAGAGGTATGATGGTATCTAATTTATTAATGTATACCTAACATCTAGCACCACACTGTACATTGCAAATGTTTGCTGAATCAATCAATGAATGAATATTGATTAGGATCTTGTGAGATTCTTAGCCTTGACAAGTAATCTATGCATTTAATGTTATTTAAAATAATTTTAACATAGAAGAACTATAAAATATTTCTAATGTCAAAAATCTATTTAATCAACAAATATCATTGAGCATCCACTATGTGCAAGGGACTTAGGTAGAAAGAGAGGAGAAAGCATCCATTAGCTCATCCTCAAGAAGCAACTGCTATTAATATTTTGAGTGTTTTTCCTGTCTTCCTTTTCTTTTCTTAGGAAATATATTCTGTGAATTTACTTTACTACACCAGACAACCATATATGGTAATCAGCAAATAAAATTTTCAATATATGTATGACTTTTATTTAAATGAAGAGAACTATTCTAACTTTCTAGTCACTTGCCTCAACTTTACAAGTTTCATTTCAGCATATGAAGCTTGAAATTTAAGGAAAAGTGAAGAGAAATGAAGGAAAAATTACAAATAAGTTTAATTCACATTTTTTAAGTCTTTGGAACCCACTTTCAGAAAACTTCAATATCTTGTATTTTAAGTAGTCATTAAAATTTCAGTTCAGGACATTTCCCCAGTCCTCAGTCTTGCTTTTGATGTATAGACAAGAGATTCAGGATTTGAGATGTGAGACTCTGATCTTTGAGACCAAAGGGAAAATCTGAAACTCTTTTTTCAAATCTATTTTGCTCCCAGTGAAATCTGAAGCATTGAAAAATCCATCCAACATCTATAACGACACCCAAGCTTTTTCTTTATCATCATGACTTGAGAAATCAAGTCTGACCACCAGAAATAATGATTGCAGGAAGAGTCAACTCTTGGCTCTATGCTTAAGTTTTCATAGCATTAAGATCATTCTGAATTTTAAGTTTTTTTAATCTTGGTTTTCAGTTGTCTTTCTAACATGAGTATTTCCATGCCATTAAATTACCTATAAACATGATAATGTTTAATGGCTGCTTAATATTCTGTAATATGAAAATAGAATTTTCTTAAAATTTTCTGTTTTTTGGATATTTGGATTTCCAATTTTTAGTTGTTATAAACCACACTACAATGAAAAGCTTTGAGCAGATTTTTTCTTTCAGATTATTTCCTGAGCAAAGATCTCCCCAGAAGGGCAATCATTAGTTCAAAAGGCATAAAAATGTTTCAAATTCTCAATACATGCTGTCAACTGACTTTCACCAACAGTATAAGAGAGTATCTATTTCACTATACCCTTACCAGTCCTGAGTAGTCTTAAAATAAGGGGAAAAATTTTGAGCAATTTGATAGATGAAATTTTATCTAATTTTAACTTGTATTTATTCGATCACTGATGGAGTTCGATTCTTGGCCATTTCTGTCCCCTCATCTGTGAATTTAACTGTTCATTTCTCTCTTAAGATGTTAATGCTTTATTGATTTGAACAGGCTCTTTGTAAAAATATAAATCCTATTGTCTGTCATATTTATGGTGGATATTTTTCTCAATTTGTTTTTTGCCTTCAACATCTATTCAACACACATTTATCTGAGTCTCCCCAAGGTGCCAGGCACTGGTCAAGTCATCAAGGATGAAACAGACACAGTCTTTGCCCTTAATGGTCTCGGAGTTTAATAGGAGGAGGCAGGCAGGTAAACAATGAGTGCACTAAGGCTTTCACATACTCCATTAGAAGTACGAAATGGCTATAGTGGATACACTAAAAGTGAGTGGTTAATTCTAATGTAGGGACCAGGAAAGACTTCGCAGAGGAGATGATTCTTAATTAAGTATAAAATACTGAGTAAGTTACTAGAGCAACAAGGGACAAGGTGGGAAAAGGCATTCCAGGCAGAGGGACCACCTACATACAGAGCCAGAGAGCCGGATGGTTAGAGGAACTTCAGTAGTTGGGTTGGGCTAGTTGGGAGTAGAGTAAAATGTCCAGCAGGGCCAGGGGAAGGAGAGGCTGGAGAGACTCTGAGGTCACATAATTTTTAAAATTATGCATAACTCTAGATGTTCAATGAAATCAAATTAAGCTTTTCATTTGTCATCTCTTACATAATGTTTAAGCTAAGTCCTTTCTGGCCCAGAGCTTTTATGCTTACCTGTATTTTCTACTAGTTTCCATTTTTAATACTTTGATTTTATTTTCCTCTTTATATCTAACTAATCCATCTGGAACTGACTTTGGTATATAATGGTAAGCCTCATTTGGATCTTTTTTTCTGTTTCAATGTTTATCTTATCTACATTGTTCATTTATCTTCTTTCTGTAACCTGACTTTGCTAATGGGTGAAAACAGGGCGTGCTGAATATCTAATAAAATGTATTCCCAGCCGGGGACAATGCTAAGGGAAACAAAGGAAATTTCATTGTGTTTGCTCTTTTCCTGAGCTGTGCCAAACATTACAGGTGCCAACTCACAGCCATTTAGAGTCCTGGTTCAGAATACCAGTGCTACTTTGTATTTACAGATTGCAAATTTTTAAGGCATCAACTGTGTTTCCAAAGACAGTAATTGATTCTCATGACAACTGAAGTGAGGAGGAGGAGGAATATGTCACCGCCAGCTTAATTTGTTTACTCCTATCAGGAATTAGGCAGAGTCAGATTTCTTCCCCTGACAGTGTCTGGAAGTCGAGGGGGCTGGCATCTCTTCTCTGTACAGCACAGGCCAGACACCGGGCTGTGAGCTGAGAGCTGTGATTGGTTAGAAAGACAAGCATATCCTGACAGGATTGGTTCTGGATTCCCCCAGGCCTCCCGCCCCCTTGTTACTTCCCAGTATTCGGAAGATCTATCCACCAATCACAGAGCTCCTTACTGGAAAAAAACAACTGCTGGAGAGTGCCAGGAGTCCCTAGCAACACTGTGGCTTTTGAAATCTCAGGGGGAAAGACTGTGTAGTCAGCCGATAGTGGAGGAGAGCGCCTATGCCTCAGGAAGAGCAGGCATTCCGGATGGACACCCCACCCTCTGAAGAACCCTTAGATAAGCAAAACGAAAAACTGGAAAATCAGGAAGAGGAGATGGAGTTTAAGGAACTGGACGGTCTGAGGGAAGCCTTGGCAAACCTCCGGGGACTGTCCGAGGAGGAGAAGAGTGAGAAGGCGATGCTTTGCTCCCGCATCCAAGAGCAGTCCCAGCTCATCTGCATCCTGAAGCGGAGGTCAGACAAGGCCCTGGAACGCTGCCAGATCCTGGAGATGCTCAACACAGAGCTGGAGGAGAAGAGGATGCTGGAGGCCCAGAAGCTGAAGGCCAAGAGTGAGCATGCCCAGAAGCTGGAGGAACGCTTTATGACCCTGGCAGCCAACCACGAGTTGATGATCCGCTTCAAGGACGAACACAAGAATCAGAACGTCAAGCTGAGAGAGGAGAACGACAAGCTGAGGCTGGAGAATGACAACCTCTTCAGCCAGGCTCTGAAGGACCAGGAGGCCAAAGTACTGCAGCTCACGGCCCGGAGCGAGGCCCTCACCAAGGAGCTGGAGACTCTGAAACAGAGGTGTGCTCAGGACGCCTGCCAGGCGCAGGCCCGAGAGACGGAGCTGCTGGAGCTGCAGAGCCAGCAAGCCCGCGCCCACACCAGGGAGACAGAGCAGCTGCGCAGCCAGCTGCAAAGCCTTAAGCAGCAGCACCAGCAGGCCATGGAGCAGATGGCAAAGGCTGAGCAGGCGCACAGCAGCCTGAACCAGGAGCTGCAGGCCAGGCTACAGGCCGTCACTCGCGAGAAAGAGGAGCTGCTGCAGCTGTCCATGGAAAGGGGCAAGGTGCTTCAGAACAAGCAAGCGGAGATCCGCCAGCTCGAGGAGAAATTGGAGACGGCAGATGTGGCCAGGAGACAGGCTCTAGAGCGATTTGAGCAAGAGGCAGTGGCCGTGGACAGTAACTTGAGAGTCCGGGAGCTTCAGCGCAGGGTAGATGGGATCCAGAAGGCCTACGATGAACTCAGGCTGCAGTCTGAAGCCTTCAAAAAGCACAGCCTGGATCTTTTAAGCAAGGAAAGAGAACTCAACGCCAAACTCCGCCATCTCTTTCCATAAGCAAGCTTTTGCTTGCTCTGGCCTCCAATTTAGAATTGAAATATTTGTGCCTTAGCATTATGGCAAAAGTAAAGATGGTATTCCATTTATTATACTTTTAAGCACAAAAGGCAACTCAAAGAAAAGCTACTTGACTATAATATTGTTCTTGTTACTGTTTTAAGGCTAACACTAATTTCCGGTCCTACCACCTAGAATACACAAGATTTACCAAATTTCTTTCTGTGCCTTTGAAATCTTCCTGTTTGCTATCAGTATCTCTGCCTTTACCATAACTTATTCATTATCAACCTCCGATATCTTCTTGTATCCTAAGATTTTAAATTAGCAGCTCCTATGGATGTAAGTGAATCTTAAATGTGCAATAAGATGTGCTATTGTGAAAAAAAATCAACATAATTAGCCCTTGTAGATAGGTAAGCTTGTAGTCTCCTGTAGTTGAGATTTTAAGCTATAACAGTTAACAGCATAATAATAGCACGCATTCCATGCAGAAAAAAGTGTCTGATTTTGCAACTGGCCAAATAATTGCTTGCTTCACCTGCTTTACAGCAGTAATCTTTTTATTTTATGTTATTTGTGCTAGCTTGGAAAACAAAGATTGAGACCATTAAGTTCTTTACCAAAGTAGGCAAACTTTATTATAGTCATTCTATATGAGCAGCATGATTCAAATAAGTGAAATCAACCAGTTCTTATTTTTCCTGCAAGCTTAGATCACATTCCATTTTCTTGGTTTTTCTCCTTAATAAAAACAAGATTTAGAGGTGCAAGAATGCAAATATCAGTAGTTTCATTTAATTTTACACAATATGCTAAAAGACAAAAGGCCCCAATTTAGGGTAACAAGTCATAGCAGACTGGATATGATACATATAGCAACACATAGCAATTGTCTTGTTTCTATTAGTATAAATATATATTTTTTCCTTGTAATTAACTTTTGCCTTTTTTAAAAAAACATTTTTTTTTTTTTAAAGATTTTATTTATTTATTTTTCCCCCAAAGCCCCAGTACATAGTTGTCTGTCATGGCTGCACATCCTTCTAGTTGCTGTATGTGGGACGCGGCCTCAGCATGGCTGGAGGAGTGGTGCCTCGGTGCGCACCCGGGATCCGAACCCGGGCCGCCAGCAGCGGGGCGCAGGCACTTAACCGCTAAGCCACGGGGCCGGCCCTAAAAAAACATTTAAATGGAAAATATATATGTATACTTACAGCATTTTTGTAGGAATACCTAAATATAGTTATAAAAACAGATCATAGTTATTATATATTTATATAAAGTTCTTAAAGAGAGAGTTATAAAAAACACTTTATGCTTCCTTATTTCTGTGAATGTAGTTGATATATAAACATTATTATGAATACTTCTCAAAATAGATTGTAATGTAGTATTTTTCTCATCCATTTGGTGCCAAGAGTTACCTAATGATTTGGCTTTATTAAAAAATATTACTTGGTACCTTTTTAATAAACAATTTTCAAGTGCTGCTTTCCTTACCTTAGGCAATTTTTAAAACCTATTTCCTCACAGTTCTATTAAGATTGTGGTATTAATACGAATTCCAAGGAATCACATTCCTGGCTTGAAAGGACTATTTACTTCCTCTTACATGTTACCAAGAATATAGGAGGTAATTTAATTATGGTTATCCTTTATTGAGCCCACACTGTTTAGCATTGTGCCAAAGCACCTTGGATGGATTGTTTTATTTAATCCTTAGGGCCATTCAAGAAGGTAATTATGTTCACTTCTATTTCAAAGAAGAGCAAACTGGGATTCAGCAATTTGCTCAAGGCCACTTGGTTACTAGCGCAGCTGGGATTTTGATGACAACACCACACTGAAAGATTTATTGACTGTCTACTGAGTGCCAAGCTCTGGGGTAAGCACTGAGAATAACATGCAGAAGCGTGTTTTCTGCCCTGGAAGAGCTTCCACACAGTCTAGTCTAGGAGAATAAAAGAAATTACACACAGTGTGATGTTTTTTCACAGGAGGTGTTATGAGATCACAGTGGGTAAAAACACACCCAGCTGCTAACTCTGCCTGGGGGTAAGGGTTGAGATGGTAAAGAGGATTGTCAGGGATGACTAACACAGAGGTGATATATAAGCTGGTTCTTAAATAACTAGTAGAATTTCATCAGGGGGAGAAAGGGGAGAAAGGTTTGAGACAGCATCATGTAGAAAGGAGGTGCAGAGAAGCGTGTCTCCAGATAAAACTCCTGCCCAAGTTTTGCACCCAGCCAATGAGGAGGAGGAAGCTCCTGGGCAGATGCCACGAGGATCCTGGAAGTGGGCTAAGGGCCACTTGGGCAGGGAATCCTGGGGTCCTGGTACCAGAGTGTGGTCTAGTAGAGGACTTGGCCCTGGGAACTCCTCATTAAGTGGGGAAGAGTGCTTCTGGAAGAGCGCAGGGTTGGGTAAGGTAGGGGGATGGGGGTTGTGTCCCATAAAACATAGATGCAAAGGAAGAGTCTCAGTTGATGGGAGTCTAAGAATGGTACTATTCCAAGTCATGCTAAGGAGTTTGTATTAGGTTGAACCATATAACGTTGCCACTTAGTAGATCACAAATGATTAGATATGGGCCATTTCATAACATTCACTCTAATACCCTTTTGAAAGATATTAAAAGGAAAATGGGTAATGAGACTAGAAGGTCAAAGATGGTTGGAGGCCTAGAGAACAACTGAGGAAAAGAGCCCACAACATAGACTAAGAAAGTAAGAGTAATGTGAACCTATCATGTAGAAAGTGCTTTTCATGTCACCCTCATAGCAACACTTCAAAGGAGGTTCAGTTATCACTGTTTTACAGATGAAGAAAGTGACACTCAGAAAAGGTGACTTGCCCAAAGTCAGGGAGCTTTGGGTGGCTGGAGTGAGATTTGAACCCAAGCCTCTCTGGCAGGGCTGGCTTCCTGGGTCTGCCACCTGCACTGGCTTGTTTAATGCTCTGCTATTGCTGCCTTGAGATTCTTAATAATTGTGTGACAAAGGGCTCCACACGTTCATTTTGTGCTGGGCACTGAAAATTATGTAGCTGGGTCTGCTTTCTAGCTCTAAAACCCATGCTTTCTCCCACTGTACCAACTACCTTCTCACCAATCACAACAGGCATTGTTTTTTTCCTCTGTGCTTGACAGTACTTTGTATTCCACTCTCTCAGTGCTTATCCTGTATTTAATCTGTGACCTAGAGCCAGGTTAGGGGATAAGCAACTGGTTTAGTTATTATGGTCTGCTGATCTAGAAAGTGATGCCTATCACTGGAACAAATTGACAAAATGTAAATTGGCTGCCTCCCAACTACTGCCCTTGAGGGGAAATTTAAAAAACAAAACAACAAAACTCCTTTCTAAAGCAAACCTATAACTCTAGTGAATTTTTCTGCAACATCTGCAAGCAGTAACCCTAAAATGCAAGTCAGCAGAACAGATTCTAAAACCAAATAACGTGCGAGTAGTGCTGTGTAGCTGGTAAGTGTGATCTTTTGTGTTACCTATACCGTAAGCCCTTCAGTGCACCTTTAAGGAACTTGTCTCGTTCAAGAAAATCATAAAAAGAGAGGCAGAAAAGGAAGGAGAGCTACAGGAAAAGTGAACTGACTGGCTGATGTTTTCACAATACTTTGCTTCAATTCGTGAAAATTAATCAAGTTAATTCGTTTCTAGTAAACAAAGTATTAATAGAAAATCTATTTCTCCCCAATGCCACCATATTAAAGTAAAACAATTATTTAAAGAACATTGAAGGAGCGCCTGCCCAGGTGCTTGCTGTTCTATCCGGCCCTCTTTAACACAGATACCTTTGGGGTGGCTGTGGCTGGGTCAGGGCAGGAATGACTCTCTGCTCCCCACTATGGCAAGACCAAGAGAACTGGGCAGACATTTGAGATGCTACCTCTTGGCACATGAATAAAGAGGAGGACCACAACCCTAACTGCTCTCCCCAAAAGCTGACCCTGCCCCTCCATATGACTTGTCTTCCATTGTCACTGGCCAAAATTGGGCCATATGCAAATACCTCATCCAAGCATCTTCATGGAGAATGTTGCTACTGTGACTGACTTAGATCAATCAGGATCTGCCCCTGAATGGAAATGAGGCCAGTCTATGCCATCTAGTGGAAAGGGCTACCTGACAAAGGCAGGGCTCTGCCAGCAATGATGAAGGGAGATGGATGCTAGGTGGGCCACCAACAGTGTCTGCTGTACCACATACTTAGACACATACCACATACTTGGACAGACCTCCCTAGTCATTCATTACACATTCAAATGACTACTGTGTCCCCTTCCTCACCCCCTCACTCCCCAGTTCCACAAAGAGACTGTGTTAGCTATTTGCCAGACTGTCTCTATTTAATGCTCTAATCCACTCTTATTTGTACGTCTAAAATATTATCTTCCCTTTCGTGTTTAAGATTATTCATTACAGCATTGTTTGTAATAGCAAAAGATTGGAAATAGTCTACATACCATCAAAGGAACTGGTTAAATAAACTGTGGGCCCTTGATATCTTGGAATACATTGCAAATGTGAAAAAAAAAAAAAGAAAAAGGAAGCTCTGTATGTACTGATATAGAAATATCTCCAGGATATATGTAGGAAAAATAAACAGGATGCAGAATAATATTTGTAGTATACTATCTTCTGTGTAAAGGGACAAGGAAGAGAGAGGAATTTACTCCCATCTGCATAAATAAATATTACAAAAAATAAATACTAATAAAAGTGGTTATGAGTGGTGTAAGGGGTGTGAGGACTGGGGTGGTTAGGGATAGGAGTGGGAAGGAAACTTCTCAGTGTATACCATTTTATATCGTTGGACTTTTGAACCATGTGAATATATTACCTATTCAAAAAGATAATAAAATTAAAAATAAAAATAAAAGAATCTTCCATATAACTGCTTAACTTCCTAGTAAGCTCTATTTCTGTATAGATGACTCAAAAAGGCTACAGATTTTTCTTTTTTCCAAGAACTGAGTAGACAAGATATATTTTATATAAAGCCAAATATGGCCTGACAGATCTGGGTCAGGCCATTCATCTGGAAGCTGCTGCTTTCACAAACGTTTGGCAACATACGGCTAATGGCAATATCTTTTTGTGCCCTAAGGAGTGCCC